AAGTTTCTACTCCTTTATAAAAAAATGTTTCGTTCTCCTCTCCAATCGATATGTGATCTCACACATCTCATCATCTTACGAGCACTCTTTGACATTTCTCTAACATCACCATCCCTAAACTCGCACCGACAACTCTATTTCAACCAATTTTTGAAAAGATTAATGTTTTAATAAGGGTAAGACAACATAAAGTAGAAAAACAAAGTAAATAATGTGTTGGAAAACTAAAAGTCCAAGATTAACCAAAAGTTAAAGACCATATTCACTCCAACAACTTCAAAGTTATGATGAATCAATAGTCAAAAACTTCTCATAGAAAAGAAAATTATTTGTCTTGATGAATGGGAAAGCTACCCATTCTTTACATGTGGCTACCTTTTTGAAATCTATGGGCTCATAAAAGTTTGGCTTTCTCCCAAAACAAACAAATGAACACATAATTCTTTGGCTTTATTACACCTAACAATTGAAATTCAAATATATCATTAGTAGTGAATATTACAATTTATGGTTCTAAATCATTAATGTATTAATTATCATCAACTTCATTAGCCACAACATTTGGCGCAATGAATGGAAGAGAGTTCGATTACAATTTGGTTTACATTTTGTATGAATGAAGATAAGGTCAATTATTTTAATCTAAGCTCACTCGTAGTAGATGTTGTCTTTTTTGGGCTTTCCCTCCCGAGCTTCCCCTCAAGGTTTTTAAAACGCGTCTACTATAAAAAAGTTTTCATACCCTTGTAAAGGATGTTTCGTTCTCCTCCATAACCAACGTGGGATTCTCACACTAATTTTTTTTATAACATAAATTTAAGAACTCATTCTAAAGAACCATGGTGATTTATATACGTGTGTGTTCACGTAGTTGTTCATCGCCTAAATGTATATTGCAATGCCACATGGGATTTAGAATATGGATTCATGTTACTTACTCATTGCTTATAAGAGTGAAGACTGTCACCACGTAATTTTGGAGTTCCTATGGTTGAGCTAATAAAAATCACTTTCTTGGTATAAATAGTAACTTTCAATTTTTTTAAATCTTTTTTAGTCATTTTACCGTCAGGATCGCTCTTATTTGAATGTGGTATCGTCCATTCATGTACTCTTCCTTTACTCATGTATCAAATTCTAAAATAGGATTTTATTAAACATAAAAAATACTTACACCAAGATCTGTGAGACCGACCTCAAATGCAGTGAAGAATCTCTATTTAAACTGAGAACATGGAGAGATAGTCAGAGATTTCTTTCCGTTAATTAAACTGGACGAGGGATGCATATTGTATTAAAAGAGTATTTGGTAATATTAAAATTTAAATTTTTAGAAATTAAGTTGAAAAAGATTATATTATAATATTATATATTTTCTTAAGAAACTCAATCAAATTTATTAAGATATTTTTATTTTTTATTTTTAGAAAATAAATATTATCCAATTGAAAATATTCTTTGAAATAAATATATTTCTTTCAAAAATGGAGAAATTTTTTTTATAGGCGTCATGTCCCGAATTCCCGCAAAAATAAATGAAAAAATTCTAAGAAACGAAGATTGAAACAGGTGGTGGAGAAGAGACGGGACTTTGTCATCTCTCCCCTGCCCTATGAACATCTCTAACAATAATCTCGGTATAACACAAACTGACATCAATCAATAACGTACACAAACTTATTTTTCGGTAAAAGATATTGGGATTAGTTCAAACGCTCGGGACCAAGGGGCGTAGCTGCTATTTCACCAAGAGTGAATGAGGTTAGGGCTATTTTACACTAATAAGAATCTCCTGACCCCTATCTAGTCTAGTAAGGATCGAAGATTGTCTAAATGGTAATAAGTGGTAGCCGTCCTCTAATATCATATAAAAGATAAAACTGTTATGCTTGTTCTCTCTTTTCCCGAGTCATTACATTCAAATCGTTATTTTCAATTAAGTTCGCTGATGCGAATCTGGGAGGCTGGGTCGTTATGCATTGAATACGACTAAACTACGAGAACCATCGAGCTAAAAAGAAAAGATGAGTATTATTTGGCTCCTACACCAAACAAGATTGATTCAATTAAATACAAAAGTGATGACTTATTGAAAAAATTAAATAATAAATATATGATAGTCAAAAGTGAAAGCAAATGAATACACAAATCCGTACGTGGAATTCCAATGTCCTCTATTAATTTCTCCACACCTAATCTTGAAGAGATCTTAATTAAGAAAAAATGGAAGGTTGTAGGAGACATGCCAACCACTCTTGCCAAACCCCAACTCCTAACGATTTTGAAGTTCGTGTTTATTTGGTTATACGATTAGAACTGTAAATAAAGTCCCTCCGTGAAATATGAAGATGATTATTTCTATAAGGGTACGAAGGTTTTTGAGTGAAACCGAACACAAACTTTAGGGTTTAAGCCCTCGAAATGCATTGAGGTGCATCACTTGACTACACATCTAAGGGTAAAGCACTATTTCGGTGCAAGTCGTGAGAGCAACTCTGAATACTAGATATGATCTCAAAATAACAAGGTCAAAATCGGACAGTGAGACGATGAGGGGTAAGTTTCATCGTTTTTAAAACATATTTTTTTTTTTATAGCAATTTAGATAAAATAGTGTTTTTAACATAAAATAAATGAATGTAGAATAGAAAATATTGATTGATTTATTTATTTATTTATTTATTTTCTTCCATGCATGATGTGACCAAAAAGGATATGTTTTAAAAAAAAATAATGGAAATTTCAAATGTAATAATAAATGAATAATTGATAAAGCATAATAAAAATAAATAAATAAATAAATAAATAAATAAATAATAATAGACTCGAATATTGACTATAAACCAATTCCAGCTAGATACCACAAATTATGCCACCCATTCTTTTCTTACGTGCACCGCCTCATATTAATTTCATATAAATAAATAATAATTTTTTAATTAATTAGTTTATTTTTATTACGTCATTAAATTTTGTTTTAATTTTCATTTATTAGGAAATATATTACAAATAATATTAATTAAAATTAATAATTATTTTTAAATAAAATTGTACAAACTTTAAAGTATAAATAATTAGTTCAATAATCAAATTGAAAAATTAAATGAAATTTGTATTTACATTATCTCTAAGATTTACAAATCTGTTTAATTTTTAAATATTTAATTTTATGCCAAATAAATCTAAAATTTTAAAAATTTAAAGATTTATCAAACACAAAATTTTAAAAACCTACCATTTTCTGAAAGATTCTGGCTTTCGTACTTTCGTGGGTCTTCGAGATCCTTTCGATGATCTATGTTGTGTTGAAAGGATATTTATATGATTCGATTGATTGCGTAAAATTCGTGGTAGTAACGGAACTGGAGAAAGTATATTTAGAAAATACAGTTGTTTTCTATTCTATTAGTATTAGTTAATGATCTCGGCTCAGTGAGTAGTTTCTACCGTGATGAACTATTGGCACCCGCTGTGGATGAAGGAGAAAGGGGCTCCGCCAAAGTTCAATTAATTTAAATTGGTTAAGCAAAATCATTTCTTTAAAAATTACTATATTTACACAACAAATAGGTTTTATTAAAATTAGAAATATGGAAAAATCATAAAAATAAAAAATTAAATGAGTGGAAAATTCATATTAAAATGTGGAGTTGATTAATTAGTTTATCCACAAAAAAAAAAAAAAAAAAAACCAAAAAAG